AACAGATGAATAAATTCACTCTACTTAGTTGGTCATGTGCACACACCACATCTCCACTCTTCTCGTGTCCCCTTCCCATTCCTCTACGTCCCAATCTCAACATCTCTTGATTCCCTTCTGGTTTAGCTAAAGGCCTAGCTCCTTGTTTCTGATTGGCTTTTATTTTGCTCTTAAATTTATTTCTACTTTGGGTTTCTCAAAGGAGAAAAGCCATATGGTATGGAAGCTAGTGTGGCTGATTTATTAAGGAAGGATGATCTCCAGGAAGCCACAGGGGAAAACAAAGAAGATGGGACAGGAGACAAATGCATACAAACGCCTCTGCCCTAAACTGTGGGCCCTGCTCAGGTGAAGTAGCCTTTGTGGTGTAATCTGGAGGACTCCCTGCAGACAGCTAAGACATTCTGTCCCAGGATACTAGGGACACTAAGAAAGACATCGTACTTGATTCCATAGAGCCCCTTAATCATGGTAGAAATTGGATGCACCCTCCTAAGGTTCTTCATTATACTTTCTACCAGATCTGCCACTGACAGTCCAATGGCCCAGGATGTGCAGCCTTTTAGTTTGATCGCCTCATAAGCACTGTCAACCATCTGTTTGTAACCTCTTTCCAATGCTCCTTATTGCCATCAGTTCCTAACTCAGGGTGCAGATTCTTCAGGGTGATACCAGCAACAATCACGCCAATCCACACAAGGACGCTGGAGTCTCCGTGCTCCCCGAGGATCCAGCCATGGCAGCTCAGTGGGTGCATGCCCAGCATTTCCCCCATCAGGTACCCAAACCAGACTGAATCCAGGTTGCAGCCACTGCCAATAACACGGTTCTTGGGAAAGCTGCTTATCTTCCAAGCCACATAAGTCAAGATATCCACTGGGTTGGACACAAGCAACTTGCAGTTGGGAATGTGCTGTACAACATCAGGAATGATGAAGTTGTTCACATTACACTGCACCAAATTAAGGCAGCTCTCTCCCTCTTGCTGATGTGCTCCAGTGGTGATAATACCCAGGTTGGAGTTTGCAGTTACATTGTAGTCTTTGCCAGAGACAATTTTTGAATCTCTGATGTTGTGAAGGTGACTCTGACTCCTGAGGAAGAGGCATGTTTGAAGAAGAGAGCAGAAACCCTGTGGTCAATCCAGAAGGAGCTGCAGTTTCAGAGTCTCCTAGTATTTTTTGTTGTTGTTGTTTGTTTGTTTGTTTTTAGCGGAACCGGGGATTAAATTCAGAACCTTGTGCTTGCCAGGGAAGCGCTTATTCCACTGAGCCATCTCCCCGGCCCTCAGAGTCTCCTAGTGTTACCACGTCGCTGTCTGGGCTACAGGAGGGTTTCGTTGGAGTTTGCCAGTTGTCCTTTATAGCTGACATATGATTGAAGCAACGCTATTAAGATGGCCTGGGGAAAACATCAATTTCCTAAAGTTGGAAGTAGGAACGATTCACAGAATCCCACAGCTCTGTCCTGATGCCGGATGGTGCTGCACTTAGAGTCCTTGTTAGTATGAAGTATCCCAGCATCTCTGAGACCTCACTGCGCAGGCTCCTGTTACTCTTCAGACAGATGTGTGTTACTCTGTTATACAGCTTCACCCACCAAGCCTTGTCTGACCTTTCCCCAGTTGGTCACAGCCTGGGATCCAGCATACAAATCTAATACTGCATGTCTTGTGCATAACTGTCTTAAAGGATTTTATTTTTATATATATATATATATATATATATATATATATATATAAAACATTGCCGTATAATGTAAAAAGATCTACCTGTGAACAGTATAACCCAGTGTCACACCAACTACAATACCAAATAAACCTTGAACAGTGACTACTGTTAATGTAAAAAAAAAGATAGCTGAAACAGAACAATTCTGATGATGGGACACCAGGGGTGCTGTACAGATGCCCCAGAAGTAGCTGACTGACAAGATAAAGGTCAGGGGAAGGCACAGGAGGGAACCAAGCAGTTAAGTCCCAGCTCTCTTCTTTCCTCTCATCAAGCAAACTAGGGAGAAAGCCTGCCTGACACCTCTGACATGAATAATTAGGGTTCAGTGGATCTTCTACTGTTCCTTCTCAGATACAGGCACAAAACATCATTATCTGTTAATAGGAAAAAGCAAGAAGAAAAAAATAAAAGGGAGAATCTCAGGATAAAGAAAATATAGCTGTGTGTAACGTCTACACTCCTTGCAGGGCATTGGTACATGTACATGACACAGTGTGACTATCTTTTGTCATCCTGTTTCCCTTCCCTCCCCTCCTCATCTCTTGCCCCCTTCCCCTTAGAGAAAAATTGATTTCTCTACTTCCTGTTATCTATCATTTATTTTGCAATTTATTTAAAATTGGGGTTCTTATTTAAGAAAAAGCATGTGACATTTCAGCTTATAGGTCTGATTTCTTTTACTTAACATGATAGTTTCAAGGTGTATCCACTTCCTACAAATAACTGAAGTTTATCTTCACGGCACAGTAGTACTCCATGACATGTAAATGCCACACCTTCTTTATCCATTCATCTGTTGAAAGACATATGGGCCACTTTCAGGATTTAGATATGACAACTTGTGTTGCTGTAGCCATAGGAATTACAGAAATTCAAATGAAAGCAACACTGAGCTTCCATCTCACTTCAGAAAGAATGGGCACCATCAAGAAACCAAAAGATAACAACTGCTGGTGAGGCTGCGGCAAGCAGTCAGGAGCCCTTCTGCCCTGAGGGAAGCAGGTACAGCTGTGGCCGTGAGTGTGGGAATTCCCGGGAGGCCACCACTGGAAGTCCCGCTGAGCGAGCTCTTCCCCTTCTAGGTCTCTCGCTGCAGTGATCCGTGCACACTCGTGTCTTCTGGATCCTGATTTCTACTCTCAAGTCTGTCGCCAAGCAGGACACGACTTGATGAAGTCACTTCTCTGGTCTCAAATTCCTCAACTGTCTAAGAAGGGGACTGAACAAGAATTAATAAGTTTCCAACCTGCTGGATCAGAAGAACTGTCTGGGAGCTTTTGCGTAGTTCAGGTTCTCCCGATTTACCCATGACTATTCTGATTTAAAAGGTCTTGCACAGCAAGTACAGTAGGTCAGGCCTGGCATCCCAGCTGCTCAAGAGCCAGAGGGGGGAAGCTGGCTTGATCCCAGAAGTTCTCCTCCAACGCAGGATCAAAGTGTATTTCATGCTACATGAAAATGCCACAGTGAAGCCCGATGTTTTGTAAGATTAATATACATCACAAACTTTACATAGTTTTTCTTTTTCTTTAGAAAATTAGGAACACTAGTGTGAAATAGTCTCTCAATAAATTAAGAATGAATAAGTAATCAGTTCCCTATATTCAAAAAACTAAGAAATGCTCATTATATCTTGAGTAACTTAGTGCTCATATCTGCTGTGTGGGGAAGGTATTTTTTTTAGACTCATAAATCTAAGCTCACAAGGGCCGGCCAAATAGCTCAACGGGCTAAAGCGCCTGCTTAAGCAGAGCGCAATGGCTGGAGTTGGATCCCTGGCGTGCCGGCCGCGCCAGCCCTGCCCCCAGGGTGCACTGACATGGCTATTGAGACTGGGAACAGTGGCGCACACCTCTAATCCCAGCACTTGGGAGGCTGAAAGCAGGAGAATCACTACAAGTCCAATCTACATAGTGAGACCCTGTACCCCGGAGACCCTGTACTAATATAATAAATAAGTACATTTAAAAATAAACAATAAATCTGAGCTCACAATCTTTAAATTATAACTGAAAGCTTTTGGTCACGGGGAAGCTCGTTTTCACCTCCTGCAGCATGAGTAAGTGAGACGCACGCAGAAGTCTGACTCCCAGGCACACCGTGACGAGTGCGTGCAAATGCACAGTGCTGATTCATTGCTTTTCTTGCTTTACGCCGCCCACAGCCATTAATACCTGCCAACCTTGCCAGTCTGCAGATGGAGCTTTCTCATGTCCTGCACGGGGATTCTGCCGGCCTTGAACTTCCTGAGTGTCTGCTGTTCTTTTTGGAGAAAGATCTGAATGTCTAGAGCTCTGGCTTCACACGCAGAGGACGGGGGTCGTGCTTCTGCCCCGTGTCCAGCAGCTGTGATGTCAGTGACGCCATGTCACCCTTCTGGCCTCGAACTCCTCTGACCGCATATGTGTTTGGTCCTTTGACTTACTAGTACTCTTATTGTTTTCTGAACATACTGTTTATATACTCCGAATGTCCACAAAATTATATTGCTTGAAAAGACACACTAGGAGGGTGTCTCACAACAAAATCTTGTCTCATAAGAAAAACAAAAATTAGAAAGGCCTGAGGTTGTACCTTTCCCTATTATCAGGGAAAACATCACCAGGTTATTTGTGTGTGTGATCTGTATTTTGTGATTTTTCAAAAAGAAAAATCATCTCTCAGCATACAACATATAATGTGTTCTGAAATGCTTCCCTCTCCCACAAATGTGGGTCTAGTTAATGGTTCTGTTTGTCTCTTTCCTAAGAAAGCATCATTAATAGTTAGGGATGAATGTTAGGCTTAAATAACAGCAGGCGTATAGTAGCAGTCGGGAATGTCACACTGTGATTGGATTCTCCCGTGATACGTGGAACCACACTGGGAAGAATGATAGCTGCTTGTTTGCAGTTAATGAAACAAACAATGCACTTGAAATGAATACAATATTGTACGTATACTGTATCTAACAAAATCAGTTCACCAGTGTTCGGTTTTTATTGCCTTTCAAGGAGAATATAAGTCATGGTGGAAAAACATGTTGAATATCAAACTATTTATTATACTGACATACTTTGTTGCTGTGGTTGATTTTATCTTCTGAGAGGCATGAAATATAAAGTATAGCATCATGCAAAGTAGTTCTCTGTGAGAGTCCCATGAAGCTTCGTTCTTCCTCAGTGGATTTAGTGGCTGTCAATGTGATTCTTGTGAGAACATTCTTAGGGGTCTCTTTGTTTCAGGTCAGTCATTATATCTAGCTGTTTCATTGTTTTCTTTCAGAACAGTTGAACATCACGTACCAAGAGTGACACTGGGCTGAAAGAAAGAAAGAAAGAAAGAAAGAAAGAAAGAAAGAAAGAAAGAAAGAAAGAAAGAAAGACCCAGCAGTCTGAATCTTTTCCTGTCTTGGAAGAAGAAAAATGGAAAACTGATAATCAAAGGTAAAACTGACTCTTTTCCTTTACATAATACAGTTCTACAGTTGCATCTTCAGCCACCAATGTGAAACAAATTTTAATAATGTGGTATATTGGAACAAAAATAGTTCTGACTTGTACTTCTAGGCTGCTGAGATTGAAGTCTGTGTGTTTCATTTTTACCTCTTTAGTTACTTGCACCGAATCTGGACCAGTGTAGCTTGTATGTCCAATCTTCGTTGTTGCTGCTAATCTAGACTAATGTATCAGTTCGATACCATCTTGTTGACTCTGTGGACCAAAATATTATACATTAGGCTGAGGGTGGAGCTATGAAATAGGCGGCATAGTATTGTTTTTTTCTTAGCATGTTGTAAAGCTTTGCATGTATCAGCGCCGACATATTCAACATGACTTCAAGCATCATGGAACTACCATTGACTGGTTTCAAAACTAACTTTCTTGTCAATATATTTTCCATGTGCAGAATAAGACAGACATCTTGACCCAGAAGACCTCATTTTATTCATTAATCCATGTATATTGCTTCATATGTGACAACGTCTCTGTGGATATATGCCAAAACTTACTGCATTGCGTTGTTGTTATATTTCCTATTGAAAACAAATCTGGGACTGGATGCATTATTTGAGTGAAAAGCATCCTTTAATTATGCACGGTTGGGCATAATGTTAGATGGATTGGGCAGCTGGCAAAATAGATTTAGCACCTTCAAGTGAATCAAAACTTATTTTTCCTTTTTTTAAATATGAGAATCTTAAACAGATTAAAATAAAGCTAGGCAAAAGTTGTAGTTGTGTTGTGACTGAAGTTACATATTCAGAACAGGGGTGTGGTATAATTGGCAAACTCTAAGGAATGGTTACTAAAACTGAAACAGACATCAACAAACATCTAGAGAAGCACGTGCTAGCATGCAGCTTGCTAGGGCAGCAATGGAAAGGGACAGCAAAAGGAAAGGGGCAGCAGAAAGGGGTAGGGCAGCGAAGCAAAGGAAGTTGTGACACATGGAAAGGCAGGAACACCCCAAATAGACAACAATAAACAATGGGATAAAGCAAATCCCATGATGGTAGAGAAATATTTCTTAGAACAAACCTCATCCTGAGCACAGAATGCAAACTGTGTAAATGGTCTCTGATAGTCTGGGGCATGAAAAATTCTTGAATCACCAAAAAAGGATTAATTCACTCTTTTTTTCTCTCTTGAACAATGCAATTATCTCCTACTGGTTTCTTTCTTCAGTTTCCCCAGGGTGAGAGTCTTCCTTACAACAGCTTTTATCATGTCTGTTTTGTCCTCAAAAATATTCTTGGCTTTTCCAGTTCAGTGCTGTCCAAGCTACTTAGCTAGACCCTGAGAGCAAAGCCTGCTGCTCTAGGTTGCCTATTCCTTGACTTCCCTTACCAACAGGCTGGCCCACTGTCTAGAAATATGATTTTTTTTTTGGCAAGTGTGATTGTTCTTGTGGATTTGTGGTTCTCGGACACACATCACAGTAGAATGAGGCCCAGGAACTTGCAATGCTAAGAGGTTTTCAGCTGAAGATGGGCATACTAATCCAAAGACCACACTTAGAGAGCCATACGGTAAACCAGCACATCCAAGATGGCACGACAATGCCTATATTACAGTTGAAGCCAAGAGAGATGGGGAAAAGCAATTCCTTACCAGCATCACCTTTGTGGAGAGGGATGATCATTTGAAAACAGAATTTGAGTTTGATGGTCAAATATCGTCTTAAATCAGAAACTTCCCAATAGCGAAGTTTTATATAGATTTTTATATCACTTTGTGTGTTATAGATTCTGAAGGTGCATAAATATTGGTTGTATGGATATATAGATGGGATCAATGGATGGATGGATGGATAAGAGGTTAGGTAGGTGGGTGGATGGGTAGATGGATGGGATGGATGAATGGATGGATGGGTGAGTGAGAGGGTGGGTGGGTGGATGGATGGATGGATGGATGGATGGATGGATGGATGGATGGATGGGTGGG